TTGAGTCATTCTTACATATTTCAGGTACTGGAGACTAGAGATTTATGCATTTTTGCAGATTCACAGGAGGGGACAAACACAGAGAGGAGCTAGTGTGGTAAGTCCATAATGAGCAGACTGGATGTTACACAGTCAGCTACATAGATATTGGTGTCACCTTCTAGGCTTTGGGTGAGGGGTGCGGGGGAACATTTAAGATCAGAGCAATAAGAACAGAATTAGAAACAGGTATGACAGTCCATTTTTCAAGCTGTGATGCTAGAGTTCTGCTTTAGTACTTGAATGATGCTCATCTGAGGAATTTCCTATTCTCCTGGACAGAAACATAACGCCTGTTCTTCATAATAAGGAAGGATATTTCCAGAGTTTCCCTATTCTTAGCGCTGCAGAAGTGTTTTCTTTTTTATGAATGAACTAATGGATGAATTAATCTGGAAAATCATCTGCTGGAAAACAACTATGTGGAATATAAATGTCTGATGAAAAGCATATAATCACATACACCCAGTATTACAACCCCTATATACATGAATCTAAAAATCCATTATATGGAACTGTATAATGAATTCAGAACTCACATTGTATGTAGAAGGTAATTAATGTATGACATGTGCCATGCCTGAATCGCTTATTAATTACACGTATGTCTGTGATATGAATTTACCAGTCCAGATTCAGGCTGCATTGAGAGTTTGGAGGGATGATATGGGTTCCTGGTTGTACCGAATACGGATGTTTGGTCTGGGAACTTGTGAGAATGAAGGTTATATAGACTCTTATTGGTGAGGTCAGCTGTCATCGTCTATGTATACTGTACACTGGGTGCATATGATAATGAGAGATATATTGAGCTTATATATTATATGTTATATATATTTATCTATTAATCTAATTTTTATATTCTATCTATCTATCTACCTATCTATCTAGCCATCTTTTTTTTCTATTAGTCTATATACCCATTTGTCATTATTTCTGTCCACTCTTTCTCTCGTTCTCTCCTCACCTTCTTTCTTTCTTTCTTCTTTCTTTCTTTCTTTCTTTCTTTCTTTCTTTCTTTCTTTCTTTCTTTCTTTCTTTTCTTCTCTTCCATCACATTTTTTATGTATTATATCATATCTCCTATATATACCAGTCTACCTGCGTGCTTCCTTCAGTATTTATATCGTATCCACCTAAACAATCGCATTTTCATTGAGTTTGTCTGAATTCCAGTCCGAGTGTAGGCGTTTCTGTATAGTTACATATGTATAATGCTGTCAGATTATCGTCATTGTGTGACTGTAGGTCTATATATAGAACAATAAGAGCTTAGCTTCATCGATAGTGATATCAAACAATCACATCATCACAGTGTACAACTGACAGGCGTTTAATTTTCCCTTTAAAATTTATTTTTTTGCGTGCATTTCATGTATGTTTGTTTATTTATTGTATATATCAGACTAACAGCTAAAAGGCATTTAATACATATTACAAATAGTTCCTATCTGTCAGTTCTTGTGAGCTATATTTATGCCATAGAAATCAGTTGTAAGATGTCACTGTAGTGTGACATATTTGATACAACATTGTGTCATTTGTATGTTTTACTCGCTGCAGAAAATTAATAAGTGTCTGTGAGCAATGTTTAATTATCAATGTAACGAATAATCTCATAAATTGTGACATAAATACTTTGTTACAAGGAAAGCTACAAAACTGTGTTCGTGATTTGTAAAATTGTCGGCGATCCAGCCAAGGTGACTTGTCTCACAATTCACTTGGTGAATTGTCATGTGACAATGCACATATGGGCAACAGTTGTCACCCTATTACCAGAAGTGCCAAAAAAAAGTACCACAGGCTCACCAGGTACTATTATAACTAAATCTGAAGATTTAAAAATAAAACAACTTCAGAATTACAGACATGTTAAAGCTTGTATGATATTGCCGTGATTGAATTTGCATTCACTTTAATCCTGTCCAATCAGGAAATAAGTTCAATAAAGAAACATTTCATAACAGAAATGGTTTAGATCCGTGTTAAGGCATGTAGATCTAAATCTTCAGCCAATGTAATGAAAACAGTGTGCAAAGACCCTGTCAAGGAGGGAGCAAATAAAACCAAACAGATCTGAAGGAGACTGGAGCCAGATTCCCTAAGATTCAGGACTAAATGAAAACCCCCCAAAATATCTGGAGGAGCTTTGTAGAACTGGAGCAACACTTTAAATAAAAACCCCCAAAAAGATCTAGAGGATTAAAAGATGTCTAAAAACTCAGCACTAAATAAAAACCCCAACAAGATCTAGAGGAGCTTTGTAGAACTGGAGCAAGATCAAAACTCAACACTTAATCAAAACCCCAAAAAGATCTAGAGGACCTTAAGATGTCTAATAACTCAGCACTAAATAAAACCCCAAAAAGATCTGGAGAAGCTTTATAGAGCAAGATCAAAACTCAACACTAATAAATGGAAACCCAAAAAAGATCTAGAGGAAAGAAAGATCTCTAAAACTCAACACTAATAAATGACAACCCCAAAAAGATCTAGAGAAGCTTTGTAGAACGGAGCAAGATCTAAACTCAACACTAATGAATGGAAACCCAAAAAAGATCAGGAGAGAGGAGATTTCAAGAACTAACAAGATCCCTAAGACACATATTCATGACTAAACAAAAACCCCAAAAGATATGGAGAAGCTTTGTAGAACTGGAGCAAGAACTAAACTCAACACTAATAAAAGAAAACCCAACATAGATCTAAAGGAGATTTCAATAACTAACAAGATCCCTAAGACACAGATTCTTGTGGTTGAGATGGACCATAAAAAGTCTAGATTGTTGTGTATACAGAGTAGGTATATTAAAAATAAAAGAGGGGGGAAAAACTGAGTGAATTCCTGAAAACTTAGTCCTGTTTTAAAAGGGGGCCTTTTCATTGCCTCTGTCACCCCTAGCCAGGCTGCCCCCCTCCACACACACCCCTTTGATAATCCTCCTCTATTTTAGAGGCAGCACAAAACCTGCTTCCATGCAGAGCCTTAGTGGCTGCAAGTGAAAGGAGTGCAGAATCCAGCTCTATGAATCACGTTGGAAAATTGCTTTCCCTTAAGGAAAGAACGTTAAGGAAGAGAGAGAGAGAGAGAGAGAGAGAGAGAGAGAGAGATGCTATTTCCAATCTGCTTGTTAAACAGGTGGAAATTGTGCATTTCTCAATTATACAAACCCCATACATCTGAGGCAGAGTCGGTTCAATTTATTTTTTTTTTTCTTGGCTTCTTCTCCTTCCGGCGCCTCTTAATAGACGAACCCTACAAATATTCAATTATTTGGAGTGTAATTTGAGGCTGATACAAAACGTTAACGTGATAACGCATTGATAGGGGATCGTTATACACTTGAGGTGCTTGGTGTCACCCTGATCACAGATGCAGAATGGAAAGTGACCCTTATTTCAGGCTGAACAGAGCCAGAGCTGTTCGGAGAGAAAGCTGCTCCGTGCTTTGTAGGCACGAATATGCAAAATATATGACATCTACTAGAATTATCATTCTTCCCATCTAGCTACATGTTCTCTCCCACTGTATAAAATATATAAACATTGTGGCATGTGCAAAACAGGAGATATTAGGGAGTCAATGCATCCTGAAAATATGTATTTGATGTATAAGAAATGTAACTGCATTTATATTATTACATATACAGAAGAAAACGTATTATGCACATAATAAAGGGACATCACTCTTAATGTTGAAGGTACACTGTATAGATGTTTATATTACAGTGAAGGACATATAACCGATGTGTCTGTGTGTGATGTATGACTCGTGCTCTGTAGATACAATACCATTGCTGTAAAGTTTCTACCTACAGATATAAAAGTGTTAGCGTGTGTGTGTAGAAAGAAAGAAAGAAAGAAAGAAAGAAAGAAAGAAAGAAAGAAAGAGAGAGAATAAAATATGGATAGATAGATAGATAGATAGATAGATAGATAGATAGATAGATAGATAGATAGATAATAGATAGATAGATAGATAGATAGATAGATAGATAGATAGATAGGATGGATATAGATAGATAGATAGATAGATAGATAGATAGACTTGTAGCAGTAAATTCTAATTCTTCCCTATGGAAGAATTATTTAATTACCATAAAATAAATAGAATCCATTGCTGCTGTGTCTCTCTCTCTCTATCTAGGGTTGCTGCCTTTAGTCCCAGGGTACATATGTGAGCAGTCCAGCCTTATAGAAAGAAAGAAAGAAAGAAAGAAAGAAAGAAAGAAAGAAAGAAAGAAAGAAAGAAAGAAAGAAAGAAAGAAAGAAAGAAAGAAAGAAAGAGAGAGAATAAAATATGGATAGATAGATAGATAGATAGATAGATAGATAGATAGATAGATAGATAGATAGATAATAGATAGATAGATAGATAGATAGATAGATAGATAGATAGATAGGATGGATATAGATAGATAGATAGATAGATAGATAGATAGACTTGTAGCAGTAAATTCTAATTCTTCCCTATGGAAGAATTATTTAATTACCATAAAATAAATAGAATCCATTGCTGCTGTGTCTCTCTCTCTCTATCTAGGGTTGCTGCCTTTAGTCCCAGGGTACATATGTGAGCAGTCCAGCCTTACAATGAAGGAAGCATCATCCAGGAGTGTCATTTCATAGAGTGTGAGGCTCCAGATCAGCTGCAGGTCCTCCACATTAAACTTTGTGTGCGATTAGTTTATTGAGAGAGTGT